AATGAATGTACAAATGTGCTTTACACAATTGATATATGTATGGATTGTGATAAGAGCTGTATGAGCCCCCAATAAAATGATTTTTAAAACAAAGGCTGGGGTTTGGGCTCTGTGAGACATAGGGAGCCTTTGAGAGTTTTAAGCAGGCAATGACTTGGTCAGACTTTCAGGGAAGTTTCCAGATTACTGTTTTTCCCAGTGTTATATGGGAATAAATACACTCACTTGGCTAAGATGTATGGCATCTATGTGCTGGGCCTGAGCTCTGGAGTTGGGGAAAGCGCTGGAGACTGGCAGAGCACAGAATCAGCAAGGAAAGGCAGGCCTCAGCTGTATCATGGTAACTGGTTCAGATGAGTGGCAAGGACATGCCCAACGCTGTGGAGCTCAACCAGGCTTGGACTCAGGCAAAGCCTCTGTGGAAGAAGCACTCATGCCAAGCCCAAAGGGTTAGGAGGAGCCAGTCTGCTTTGCATGGGAAGTTTCCAGAACTCACGATTAGTCAGTCCAAAACCGTATGGAATCATGGGCGCCTTGGCAAATTGGCGCCATCAGCTCAGCAACAATTGCCAATCACGAGCTAGGTCAGCAGATAAGGGCGGAAGATGAGGCAACATGGTTTTAGCAGGAATATCCCAGGGCGTCTTAAAGAGTTGCCTTTTAACAAGCAATCATCTAAGTGAGGTGGCAGCTAAGCCGACATAGAAGAGGCACACCAGCCTGTGTGATCCAAGGATTGTAAATAGTAAGATTCAAGACCAGAGATGGGAATGGTATAAGAGCTTACATTCTGAGCATCCAGTTGGCAGAAAGCAGAAATGACAGTAAAAGCCCCAAATCCATTTTCAGTGTCCCCACTTGGGTTAAGTTCTGGTGAATCCCCTCTGACCACTGACCAGGGCTGTGAGACAGAGTGCATTGGGAAATGAGGATGGAGCTACATTAAAATTTCACACTTTCTCATTTGTTCTCCCTTTTGACCCATTTTAAATTTGTTGTAATTTTTATTATTTTATGTTCTCTTTTTAACTTGTTTTTTTTTCGGGGTAGTGGTGGTGTAATTTTTGTTGTTTTCTTGCCTTTTGTTTCTGTATGTTTATATAAAATCTTTCTTTAAATGAAATCTGCAATAGGTTAATCTATAGGGATAGTAATTGGGTTAATAGTTTCTTGGGGTTATGTAGGAGTGGTGGGGGGATAAGGAGCTAATAATAATAAGAAGGATGACAATGTTTTAAAGTTGATGATGATAATGATTACATACCTCTTTAATATGTTTAAAATATTGAATTTATAATATGAGAATTATATGCAATAAAATTGTTTTTGATTAGCAAAAGACAAAGGCAAAGACAACATCCCAGGGCTCTGGGAGTGAGGGGCTGCAGAGAGGAGAGGGAGGAACAAACTGTTCAGCCAGTCAGGCTTGTGGGAAAACCGAACCAACACTAGCTGAGTTACTTCAAAATAAAGGGGCGGGGCGGGCGGGGCCGGCAAGAGAGGAGCTGACGCCAAAGAAAGTGTTTTGGAACCGATGATGGCAACCTATGTGCAAATGTGCTTCATAAAATGGAATGATGAATTGCTTTAAGATTTGTAATAGCCCCCAATAAAATGATTGCACACACACACACACACACACACACAAACACACACTAAAATAAATAAATCAAGGGGGAAAGGAGAGGGGTTTGGCTTGCAGGTTTCATAGACCAGTGAGCCGTGGTCTCTGAGCTTTGAAATCCTGCATCTGCCAGAGATGCGACTGACAGTTCTTCTGTTTAGCACACTGATCTCCCGAATGAATCTGAATTTCATGAACCTACTTCATCAGAAAGCTGGGCAAGGTGAGTCATTTATTTCTTCACATACCCCCACGTGCCAGGGACAGGCACATCACCTCTTGGCGTCTCTCCTCAGTTTGAAGAGAACATCATCGACATCTGCCTGGAGCTTTTAGACAAGAGCCTGAACTTCCAGATCGACCCAGCCACGGACTGTGCCCTCCGAGGAAGTGCCGTCTATATCGGCAGGGTGGTGTGCGCCATGGTGAGGCCCAGGCATGGGCAGGGAGGGAGGGACATCTGCAGGGGGGGTCCCGCCCACCCACAGTTTAGCTCCCCTGGCTCCTGCCATGGGTTTGGAAGAGTCAAGAGGCAGGGGACCCTCTTGCACAGTCACTTTGGCATAAAACTGACCCCAGCATGCAGGTGAAACAGCCTTTTCCAACTGAGCTCGAAACTAGCTCAGCGAGAGCGACCACGTCTCTTCCCTCCAGATTTCTCGGGAAGGACTACGTGGCGCTCCAGTGTGGGACATGGTCTAGCTGCTTCTCGAGTTCCTTGGCTCTGAAGTTTTCAAAGTTCTCAGCGTTGAGCTCCAGCTGGGAGGGTGGGATGTAGCTGGTGGATAGAAACAAAGTCATAGACTAATCAGTAGAGGGGCTTGTGACTGCACAGCCAGGCCCCCATCTGATCTGAAAGTTGCCTGGTAAAACGCAGGTCGCCAGGTCTGCTCTCTGTCTTGGGTTCCTGGGCCTTCCAAACAGCCACAGGTCACGTCTTGTCGGGGAGACGCCTGCTTCTCATGCTTCTCTCTGTGGCTGCTCTGCAGATCAACAGCAATGACGACAATGGAGTCCTCAACGGAAACTGGAGTGAGAATTACTCAGACGGCATCAACCCTGCCGAGTGGAACGGCAGTGTGGCCATCTTGAAACAGTGGCATGCCCTGGGCTGCCAGCCAGTACGCTACGGACAGTGCTGGGTCTTTGCTGCCGTCATGTGCACAGGTAGGAAGCCCTGCCTGGCAGTGGAAATGGTCCCACAGAAAAGATGCCAACAGTTCATGGCCTAGCTCTTCCAGGCCATTCACACACCAGCCCTATCCATTTCCTACCAAGGGATGTTTGGAGGGAAGCCCTTTCCAACTACACTGTCCCCTCCTTGTGCCCTTGGGACTATTTTAAAGGTGGAACTTCCGGACCTGGTGTCCTCCCCCTTTTCTGAGCTTGGCCAACCCAATGGAATATTCCTCAGCGCCATACTGGGAACTTTCCAGGTCCAAGCTAGGAAGGAGATGAGAGGCCCAGGAATTAGGAAACTTACGAACGGACTCGTACTTCTAGGGCACAGAGAATGGACAGACGTACTGATGATATCCATGGGGAAGGAAAATGTGAGTCTGGGCTAGAAGATTAATGAATTTGGAGTCGTCACCAGTTTCAGGGTGGCAAGCCTGATTTAGGCCAAGGAGTTAGGCGTTGGGGGTAGGAAAGAAGCTGGTCAGAGAGGGGATGGATGCTACATGACTAGAAGAAATGACCCAAAAATGAATATGGGAGAAGGCAAATGGACCTTGGTGTGTATGTGTCCAGAGGAGTGAGCAGAAGGAGAAGGTGTGTGTGTGTGTGTGTATAGGAGGAGGAGGAGAGGGATATGATGCTGGGTGGGTGTGGTTCTCTAGAACTGGGTGATGAGAGACTGGTAGAGCCAGGGGACGGAGAATCTGCAACAGAGTAGATCAATGAAAATGTTTATCACTTTAGTGTCCTAGGAAGCAAAAAGTTAGACAAAGTGGGTTAAATATGGTCCTTTCCAACTGCGGCTCCATCAACACCGGCCTTAAAAGGGCCACCACGTGTTCTAGTGAAAACTATATCGAATTGAGAAGCGCATGCATTCATCCATCCAACTACACTCTGAGTCCCTCCTCGGTGCCCAGCCCTGTACTCCCAAAATTCTGGGATTCCAAGAGGAGGAAGACTCAGCCTCTATCCTGCACCAGAGTCAAAGTTAATGATGCCTTCCAACTCCTTAACCTCATGTAACTGTTAAAGCACACCCATAGTCATTATTTCACAATGGCAATCGCTGTTGGTTATTGAGGACTTCTTTGGGGTCGGGCATTGTGCTTGTCAGCCTAGAGTAATAGTGGAATGTGTGGTAAGAATGGTTGCATTCAAATACCAGCACTACCATGAAGTTGGTGAACTTGAGCAAGTTGTATAACTCGTGCCTTGGTTTCCTCAAGCACAGGATAGAGAAAGTAGTGGCCCCTCCCTCGGAGGGTGAGAGAAAGGACTGAATGCGCTCATACATGGAGAGTGCTTAGACTGGTGCCTGGCCATGGTGATTGTTAAGGGTTAGACATCTCCTCGTTTGATCCTCCAAGTGAGCTAGAACAAGTGAGAAAACTGTAAACTCATCTCACATCCAGGTCTGGTGTCTCCATTGGCCACCCGCTTGCCACTAAGCTGTACTGCCTCACAAACAAAGCTAGCCATTTCTACAACACCCCATAGATTCCAGGTGGACACTAATCAACTCACTGCCATCGAGTCAATGCCGACTTACAGCGACCCCCGTGGGAGTCCGAGACTATAACTTTCTACCAGAGTAGATAATCCTGTCTTTCTTCTGCAGAGCTGCTAGTGGTTTTGAACTGCCAATCATGAGGATCGCAGCCCAACTCGTAACCACTACACCACAAGGACTCCTAGGCACACATGATGCACTTATTATTCCCAATCCTCATAACGACCTGCAGAATCAATCTCATGACTGGCATCTTCCAGCTAAGAAACCTGAATAACCAAGGGATTCTTGTCTGACCTGGAAATACATTCTCCCCCATCTAATTCTGCCCTCAGGGTCACCCAATGTCCATACATAGTAAGTCCAGCTTACTAAGAAAACAATCGCCAAGAGAGGCCTTTTGTGTATCAAAGGTAGGGACATGGTTTGCACTGGCTGAATGTTGACATTCGTTTAGTTGGCTGCTAATTGGGATGTTACAGCCAAATCCCTAGCTGCTTTCCTGTGCTCAGGGTTAGCTGCCGTGCAACCTTAGGTTATTGGGGTTTCCCTGTCTGTCCTGACTAGCCACTCCTTGTGACAGAGGTAGACCCGTCAGCACTTAGCTGAGGGCTATAAGACAGTCTAGATGCCTTGCACTATAAAGAAAACAGAGAGGAAAACCATATTATATTACCTGAAAATTCTTCCCAAATCCAGGCATCCCAAGGCCACATGATATGATTCACTTATACATCAAATGTCCATAATAGGCCAATCTGCAGAGACAGAGATTAGAGGAGTGGTTGCTAAGGGCTCAGAGAAAGGGGGACTGTGGCGTGACTACTCATGAGCACAGCGTTTCTTTTTAGAGTCATCAACATGTTCTGGAATTAGGGTATTGTGATTGTTCATTGCTGCACAACCTGCAGATGTACTAAACAACACTGAATTGTACACTCTAAAGGAGCTCTGGTGGTGTAGTGGTTATGCATTGGGCTGTGATCCTCATGGTCTACGGTTCGAAACCACCAGCAGCTCCAAGGACGAAAGACTGACTGGACTCTCTACTGTTGTAAATAGTTACAGTCTTGGAAACCCACAGGGCGGCCACTATGAGTCAGCATTGACTCCATGGCAGTGGGTTTGGGTTTGGGCTTTGTATACTCTGAAAGGGTTAATTTGTGGCATGTAGTTTTATATCAATAAAACCAAGCCAAACCCATCAAGTCCCTTCTGACTCTATTGACCCTATAGGACAGAGTAGGACTGACTGCCCATAGGATTTCCAAGGCTGGAAATCTTTATGGAAGCAAATTGATATCTCGCATGGAATGGATGCTGGGTTCAAATTGCAGACTTTTCGATTAGCAGGGTTTTCACTACTGCACCACGAAGCCTCTTTATATATGTATATCTGAATATATATCCGGAAAGCTATTTTTAAAAGCTTGGCATCCTGGGAATGTGCCTACAGCTCTTTCCCATAATTGCAGGGAGCAAGTGGGGAGGGGAACAGGGAGAGAGGAACGACTGAAGGTGGAAAAGTTCAAGGTGTGGTTGTGAGCAGGTCTGGGGATGTATCTCCACTGTAAAATGGGATCGACACTGACACTATGGGGCGGGACAGAGGTGGGGAAGTGGGAGGGAACTGTGGAAGTAGCCTGGCTGGGACTGCGCCCTCCCCCTGACCGCAGCAACCCCACTTGTAGGTCCGAAAACACACTCGTAGGGGTTTGTTTTGCCTGTTGTGTTTCATTGCATTTTGTCAATGGAGCGGAGGTTTCCGAGCAGATCGGTTTTTCATTCAGCCATTCATAGGCGTTCTGTTTCATCCCACTGATTGCAATCCCCACAGTGTGCCGCCATGCCTTCCCAGTGTGTCCTGTTTCCATTCTTCCTTCTTTCTTAACCCTTCCAGAATTAATCCTGGCACATGCTGCCCGTTTGATCTGAAATGGTTGAGTGTTCAAGGCTGGCGTACCTTTCTAGTGTTGTCCTTCTCCTGATGGGCCTCTTGATAGCTTAGCTGAAACTGAGCCATGGGGAGGACTTAACTTCCAGACCTGAAGCGAAGGCTGACAAAGGGCCATAGCCTTGGGATTCCACCAGTCTCTATCTGACCAGCACGTCTGGTTTTTATGATGTTGAGTTTTGTTCCATGCTTTCCTCCCACTTTGTCCAGGGTCTTCTAATGTGATCCCTTTCAGAGCAGTTGGTAGTGGCAGCTGGGCACCATCTAGGTCTTTTGGTCTCAAGGTCATGGAGATTGATTTTAATCTGGCCCATTAGTCCACTAGACTAATTGTGTCTATGCACCTTCAAGTTCCTCCCTTTTTCTTTCCTTTGGGCTAAGAGAGATCAATAATTGCACCTTAGACAGCCACTCACAAGCTTTTAAGACCCCAGTCACTATTCTGCAAGTAAGATGTAAAACGTTGTCTTTGTGGAATATGCTATGCAGATTGACCTCAGTGTCACCCAAGACCATGATCATGATCTCCCAGGCCCAGTGACTGATCCCCTCAAAGTGTTTGCTTATATCTAACAAGTTTTCCTAACTTTGCCCCCTGCGTATGCTCTATCACGTTCATGATTAAATTTGCAACAAAGGTACATGTGCAAATATCCTCTCTCAAAACTATTCATATTTGTGAGTATACTCCTATTTCTCTCCCACACCCTTTATGTCTATCTGTGTCTCTACTTGCAGATCATTATTATTGCAGGATTGTGTACATAGCAGTATTTACCTCTATTGCCTTGATCTCTTACACTCCTCCCGAGTCTTCTCCTGCCTCCATCATTTTTCGCCATCCTCCCTCTATTGTCTATTGCCTTCCCCATCTCTCAAGGTAACACTGCCATTAGCCAGTAAGTTTCCCTCCCTCCCCCTCCCACGCCTAGTAACTATCAAAGAGTGTTTCTTTTAGTGTGAAAACCTTTTCTTCACTTTTTACAATAGTGGTCTTAGACAATATTTGTCCTTTTATGATGGACTTATTTCAGTCAGCATAAGGTCCCTGGGCTCCCCATATTTTGAGGTGTCTCACAGATTCATTGTTACTCTGTAATATTGCATAGTATTCCATTATGTAGATGAGCCATGGATTGTTTATCCATTCTTGGGTTGATAAGTCTTTAGGTTGTTTCGATCGTTTTGCTCTTGTGAGTAATGCTGGGATGAACATGAGGGTCCGTGTGATTATTCACGTTGTGGCTCCTGTTTCTCCAGGATATCTGCTAAGTGGTGGGATTGCTGAGTCACCTGGTATTTCTATTTCCAACTCTTTTAAAAAT